CTGGCAACGGAAACCCCAAGACCAAGAAGACCCATCTTCCTTAAAGAAACTTGTAATCCCAGGAAAGTCAAGAAGCAAGAGGAGAAGGCTTCTTGGTGACAAGACCAGAAACCCATTAACTAGCTGGTGTTATACCAACCAAGCCTTTAATAATTTGACCAGCTCAGACCCTCCTTTGCTTCAGCAAACATATTGGCTAGCTGACAGTGAACTCATTATGCCCATAAAAGAGGACAGCAACAACACAGGCATGGATAATGAAGTGCAAGAAGAATCAGGAGTGGCAGTGCACGACGAGGACCGAGGAAAGGTAGTAGCTGCTGTAGTAGGGAGTAATGGTAGCAAGGACAGTTTAGGCGTTTTGGAAAGCAACAATGGACAGCAGCAACCAAGGAGGTGCACCCATTGCCTAGCACAAAGGACCCCACAATGGAGGGCAGGACCACTGGGTCCAAAAACACTTTGCAATGCATGTGGAGTGAGATACAAATCAGGCAGGCTGTTGCCAGAGTATAGGCCAGCAAAGAGTCCTACTTTTGTGAGCTATTTACACTCGAATTCTCACAAGAAGGTAATGGAGATGAGAATGGCTGGCTTTAATACCTAGTTACCAGTAGTAGCAGTAACTCCGAAATTCCATTTTCCAATGTATACTAGAAAAGTATAGTCTCATAGATGCTGAATCAAATTATTAGCTAGTAATGCAGTGAATTCCTTTTTTGTTGAGAATTATTTATCTACACAAGTGGTATGGGATTCCCTTGCAATCTGCTCTGCAGGGTGCTTTCTACGACCCTTTTTTCTGTTTCAAAACTTGGTTTTTCTTTTTTTCTTTAAATGCTCTACCATTCTGTTTACTCGGCAAAATCCTCTCTTCCTTCTGATTGCAACTCGATGATCTTGAATTTCTCTGCAAAATAAGAGGGCTACTGATAAAAGCAGACCACTTGGTAATAGCTTCAAGCCCCTCATAATACTTCTAGCCGAAGAGAGAGGGCAATTCTTTACCAGAAAAAATAAAAATAAAAATGGCGAAGAGTGCATGATCCAAGTGTCCATGGTCTATACAAGGTTTAGAAAAGAATCTGGCATTATATAATTTTTTGTATTACATGAAGTTTGGTGCTATCTCAAAGGAGATAAGATGATTGATTTGAGCATGCACGTGACCTTTCATTATCCATTTGAATCAAGTAGTTTTTGTTCTAATGAAAATGGGAAACAGTTTGAAAGAGATTCCTGTCCCTTTTCTGCTTCAGTGAACCCATTTGATCCTTTTTGACTGTCTCTACGTTCCCCTCCCATGTTCCCCGCCATATACCCTCCACTCTTTAATCTTCTTCATCTTCTTTTTTTTTTTAGTGTAAATATTTGGATGAGTTTGTACACACTTTAATTAATTCTATAAATTTTAAAATTAATAATTATATAAACCTTTAATAATAACCTTAAATTTATAATACTCAAATTAATATAATACTCAAATTAATAACTTTTTCTAGGTAATTAAGACTCCTCCTAATTAATATTAGAAAGGAGAAACCCTAATGGGTGAGCTGAGACCATGTATTCTCAAAACCGAGTTAGGATTGATGTTTTTTTTTTTTTTTTACCTCTTATATATTGATTTATTTTTCCCAAATGATAGGTTCTTGATCCATGATCAGGACCATTATAACAACTAGATAAATTATTGTTAATTTAGAAAATAGATTAGAGAGAGAGGGAGGGTGTTAGGGGGGGCATTAAAACATACAGGCTAGAGAAATGTCATGCTCAAACATGACATATCGTGCAAGAACAAGTAATGTACTCGGTCCTTGGCCATGGAGATTGAACAATTGCCAATAAAATTGTATTAAGAATTTTATTTGTGTTTTTATTTTTTGAAACGGAGAGATGGCCTTGTCCTATTGGATAGAGACGAGGAACTTTGGGAATAATTATTGTTATTACTACTCCATATAACAATAAAATATTCACTTGCCCGAACACCCATGTTAATCTAAAAAAAAAAAGTCCATTTCCTCGAAGCCATTATTCATACGCGCGCGCATTTAATTGTGGAGTGGACTTCCGGCAAAACTTTGGGACACCTTTAAAGTTTATATGAAATTTTATTTTGGGTTTATATGAAATTTTATTTTGGTTTTTATATTTTATATTTTTTTATATTTTTTAGTTTTTAAAATTTTAATTTTAATCTAGATTTTTTTTAGTTAATTGTTTGAAAAAGAACATGGTTGTCAAAATCGTGATTCAACTCGTAAAATCGTACGTTTTTACGAGTTGATGTAGGCTTTACGTGTTAAATCGCTTGTAAAACTCGGAAATGGGTAAAATCGGATCAAAATCAGGTAAAATCGTTAAAATCGGGTGAAATCACGTAAAATCGCGATTTCACCACCGATTTAGCGATTTTACTCGCAAGAAAAAATAGCCATGTATCTGCCACGTGTTGACCGCCTATTT